CCTCAATGTCCTGGGAGTTGGTATGCCTTGTGATAACAGTAGATCTGCACTGATTACAAATAAACCTTTGCTATTACTGCCCAGTGCTAGTACAAATTTACTGTTGTCCCATTGAGCAGGATATAACCTGAACCTTTTCAACTGTGAAGGCCAACTGTTTACTTTTTTCATACTATAATTGATCATACTATATAAAATGTCTGTTAGTCTGGGTGAAATGAAAAATGTCATTTTAACCCTTTAAGACTGTATATTATATTGATATGTCATCACACAGATTAAGCATGTTAAATTGAAATACTGGCTTCTCCAACAACAATGTAACAGCCTCACTTAAATTGTACATTCTGATGCTGATTGTGTGTTTATATTTTGGTCTGTGTTATTGCGCCTGTTTGGACACAATGAGTTGCCAGATATGGAACTAATTCCTGCGCGAACACAGCTAGCTGCACACATTGCAGCAGTCAGTGTATCAACAGAGATAATGTTAGACTCTGCCCAACCTAAAAAGGCTCTACATCTGTCTAAAAAGCTCCATGACCAGAGATGTTTTAAAACACAAGTAAATGTTAGAGAAAGACTTCGTCCCAAGAAGGATTTAAAGACTGTTGTCGAAATGGCTAATTTTCTCTTGAGCAGGTAATTAATGAGCTTCAGCTAAATTAAACAACCATACAAACTGAAGGAAACTTGTTGGTATTGCTGTGCCAGAAAACAGACACGTACATGAATGAAACCAAGCGAGGACACAGTTAGGAGAGTATTACAGTTTGGTCCATGAACTCCGCCTGGATAGTCTAAGTTTCACTCATATTACCTGCTGACTGTGGAGCAGTTTGACCGCTATTGGGCACACAGAGGAGCGTATTTTATACATCACACTTTGCTGAAGACCTAATCTACAACACAGTAACCACAGTTTATGTCTAATTATTCTCAACATTGCCAGCATCGCAGACAGACTGGAGTAAGACCCTCAAACCTGTGCCCACAGTCACTTTGTAATCCTTATGTTCTTTAATAGGATATTTCTTTATATCTATATTCTATACATACTTTTCTGCATTGCTTGAGTTATATTGCAATATCATTATGATGACTGCTTGAATCTTGATACTAGTAATAACAACTACTGAAATCTTTGATTACTATATTTTATTGTTGTTGTATTGTTATTCTTACTGATCTCAATATTGCTAGTATAATTAGTTTAGTCATACACTATGTACATTAGTTAATTCTAATAAATGTTTCACTTCTGTAGTTAACTACTGTAACTTGTGTTTGTCACAATCACGATTAGCTCAGTTTCCCAGCAGAGTCAGCAAATGGGTATGCTATAGCTGCTTTACCTGGGGGACATAACACGCAGCACTATTGGCCAGCAGAACAAGTCCCTCCATAACTGACACCATTATTTAAACTCACCTGACCTGAAAAGCCAACTTCCAGAGACTTTTTACCATTATAATTTATCATTTGATGTTGGAAATAAGGCAGTGACATGTGAAATACACAAATTAGAAAAGTGAGTGGATAATTACACAGGCTAAAGCACAAACTTTTCATGAATGCTATGACATTAATTTGAGTGGATTAGTTTTGGGGTAGGGAACACACTCCTTTCAGTTTTTTTACTGTTAGCTTTACTAACGTATCAGTCGTTAAAGGAGAAAAAGAAAAAATAGTGTGAACAATATGCACATTTCAAAAAACAAATAGTATGATTAATGCAAAAGTTACAATTATAGCAAAGGCTACTCGGTAAGTGAAGTGTATATACATAAACAAGTTGTGCTCTCCAGTATTCAGTTATCATTATTATTGAGCCATTCATTACAGTAATAACTCCTATGTTTATTGAAGCTTAAAGTGCATCATAAATGGACTCCTGGGCCATTCAGCAGAGGAAAAGAATCATGTGCTTGTCACAGGTTTTCCCAAGCTACATAACATTTCAGCTGTCACAAATCATCTAGGGATCACCTCTGTAGGTCACCTGGTAGAGCATGTACCACATGCAGTATCAAGGCTTGTTGCAACAGCCTAGGTTTGGGCCCCTTGGCTGCATGTCATCCACTCTCTCTTCTTTTGTTTTAATGTTCAGCTTTAGGACAATATTCTGGAATTAGAAATAATTTTAGGAGTCGAAGCAAGGGAAGGTTTAAGCTGCAGAAACACAAGATTTTTCTTTTTTACTTCCATTTTAGCTTGAGAACACTTCAAGTGCTCTTATGGGATAAACTATACACCCACTTGAGTTTTAATTGTTCTAATGTATTATTTTCCACAAGGTCTCTGTCATCAAATCCCAGTGGAAATTTAAATTAGCAACCCACATGTACAGAAACCTGTTAAATGTTATTGCAGATAACAGATCTGAATGACCACGGCCAAAATGTTGTGGATGCTACAGTACTTGTGGGTGTAGCAGTTGTTACTGCAACAGTTGTAAGTCCAAGAGTTGTCGTTGTCCCAGCAGATGTTATTGTCCCACCAACCGTTCTTGCTGTGGTAGCAGGTGTTGTTGTCCTAGCAGTTGTCATTGTCTCAGCAGATGTTGTCAACCCAGCAGTTGTAGTGGCAGTGGCTGTTGTCATTGATGGTCCAACAGTTCTCTGGTACAGTTGTTAAATTCTAAGGCAACTATTGGTAAGGATGTTAAGTGAAGTAAGTTAAAAATCTAAACCTTGCTTTATTGGAGCCTTTTTCACATACTCTTTTACTCTTCCAATTGCATATATCTGTCAAAATCATGTGTCAAACATAGCTCCATTTAAACTTTCAAACAGCATTTCTACATTCGTGCACAAGGTACATTTAATTTTAAGTAACCAAGGGAAACAAAACTTTAACTTCACAGCAGGATGATGAAGAAGAATTAATTAGGCTTGCATAAAATGCAACAAAGAAGCATTTTAGCATGAGCGTGTACTAAATAAAAGCATTCAATCATTCCAACTTCTGAAAGCATCCACCCTGCTGAAATGTCCTTGAGCCAGGCACTGATGCCCTGTTAAATACAGGCATGTTGTACACCCTGATCGCCGACCTCACTATGGAGAAAGATAAAATCATGTCTCTATAATAACTAATATGGTTATCATATTCATTTTTTATATATAATTTGGTTTTAGCAAGTTGTGTGCCATTATAAACTGACAGATTGTTCAAGCTGGCTACAGCTACATAGTTGATAAGTGAAATACGTGAAAGTGTACAGTAGCCAGTAATAAACTGCATACAAATATATTACAAAAAATTTATGATAATGATATATGACTTATAAAATAATTGTATGAAAATGTCCAAAAGGTATCCCATCATTGGGTAATAGAATGTATTAATAACATAACAACAAATGGTACACAACTAAGGCTTAAAGATATACTTAACCAAAAAGATGAACTTATAAATACTTCTCTTTTTTGTTTCTTTGTTTGTTTGCTTTTTCAAAGGTTATATTTTTTAACAGTTTCATATCTGTGACATTTTAAATCTCTCAACTTTTGTAACAATCCACACCTATTACATCCATCCTATGTCTTCCAAATATTATTGTCACTGTAGTTCTACGGAACAAGCTGACAACAGGTACTATTTCTTCCAAATAAAGTAGTCTCATTGGAAACAATGTGCTGCTGTTTTCTTCCCAAACCAACCTGAACTACTGACCCTACTAGGCTGATCATGAAAGTAAGCTTTAGGAAATAATGAGACAGGATTTGAATGTCTGTACGTATATTCAGTGCCTTTAATGCAAGCATCTTCAATATAATGTGATTTATTTTGGTATCTGCTTTACATGGCAAGAACTTAGTATAGAAAGATTTTTTTCTTTTTGTATCCTGATCATCATAAAGAACTATATTATTTTTATTTTTTACTCAAATTGTACCACAATACAGGTAATCTCAGACAATACACATGTATGATAACATAAATACATATAAATAAGACAAGTGACTAGATAATCATATAGGGCATTGTTAAGACATTGTATATTTCATGAATGCTACAACAATCAACATAATTATGACTGGGTCACGGTTGGGGGGCTAGAGTACAGTAATGGCTAAATGTTTTTCTTCACTGAAAGTCAGAATTATTTTTGCTGTCAACTTTACTAACTGAGCAGCTCTTATATAGAGTAAAACTTAATTCAATGTAAGAATTCTTGGGTTATATCGGTTTCAAAGAGTTGAACCAGGATTAAAACATTCAAGGACTGAGGTGAATAAAATCAGATAATTAAAATAATACAGAAATAAAATTGAATAAAACCCCCATCAATAAAGATAATTATTAATAGTACATTACAGTCAACAGATAAGACATGTTGCTAATAAGGCAGTGTGCTAGAATTAATAAAAGGATGTTTTTGTTTTTAGAAGGGATCTTAAAGATGTCAGTGACACAGCAAGCCTCAGATCCTCGGGAGCAGGTTCCAGAGCTTAAGGGCCTTGACTGCAAAAGCCTGGTCAACTTTAGTCTTCAGGAACAGCTAGCAGAGCCCTTCCTGAGGACCTGAGACTGCGACCTGGCTCAAAGAGAGCAGCAATTCAGCAATTAGCTAGGAGATGAACCATGACGTGCTTTAAAGGTGATCAGCAAAATTCACAAACTAACTGCTAAACAGTGAAGAGAGGCTATCTTGTCTTCTGGTATTGTTAAAAGCCCAGCAGCTGCATTCTGTACCAGCTTAATGTGTGAGCTCAACCCTGAATACGACGAACTACACTAATCTAACCAAGATTAAACAAAAACACGGATTACCTTCTTGGGATTAGGCCAAGAGAGAAAATACCTGATCTTTAAGATGAATTGATAAAAACATGAACAATGTTGAAGGTTGAATACATGTGCCATCGCAGTTAACCTTTGTTATCAATGTCTGTGGTCATCCCAACTTTGAATTGAATGCCTGGAAGTTCTTTTCAAGCCATATACTCGGGGTCTTCTTGGATTTTTAGTGAGAGCAATGTCCTTTTTTTAGACCAGTGATAGCAGTCAGTTTATAATGGGGTTTCACATGGATATCAGCACTGTCACTATTGCTGGCTTGACAGTAGCCATGACAACAGCACAAGGAAGGATGCAGTGATGAGACTGATCTTGTGGTTCACTCCACTTGAAACTTCTGTAAATGTTGAGAAAAAGAAACAAGAAATTGCTTTAACAAACAGTTTAGTAATCTTGTAAATTTTTTGATGAGGTAGCTTTCAGTATTGCTTACGTGTGCCATTCACAGAAATGGAAGTGGTGTCAATGTTGAAGGCTGTGATGTTTGAAGCTGCGCTGACCAAAGTATTTGCAATCTGACTGTCATTAGGAACAGATGTAGATGCAAATCCAAGGT